CTCAAAGGATAAGAGATCTTTCTTTCTTACCGCTGCATAGTACTCCATTGTGTATATGTACCACAGCTTTTTTATCTATTTGTCTACTGATGGACATTTGGGCTGTTTCCAGATCTTAGCTATTGTAAATAGTGCTGCTATGAACATGGGGGTACATATATTCTTTCTGATTGGTGTTTCAGGCTTCCTAGGGTATATTCCTAGAAGTGGGATCACTGGGTCAAATGGCAATTCAGATTTATTTATTTTATTTTTTATCCTCACCCGAGGACATTTTTCCACTTTTTATTCAGATAGAGTGGGAGGGAGAGAGAAGAAGAGAGAGAGGAACATCGACATGAAAGGGACACATCAAGTGGCTGCCATCCGCACAACCATCCAGGGCCGGTGACAAACCTCAACCGAGGCACACGCCCTTAGCGGGAACCGAACCTGGATCTCTCTGGAATGCAGGCCAACGTGCTAACCGCTGAGCCAAACCGGCCAGGGCCAATTTTTAATTTTTTGAGGTACCACCATATTGTTTTCCATAGTGGCTGCACCAGTCTGCAGTCTCACCAGCAGTGTACTAGAGTCCCCTTTTCTCCACACCTTCTCCAGCGTTTGTTGTTTGATGATTTGTTGATGGCGGCCATTCTAGCAGGTGTGAGATGATGCCTCATAGTTGTTTTAATTTTCATCTCTCTGATGATTAGTGATGTTGAGCATTTTTTCATATGTCTCTTGGCCATTTGTACGTCCTTTTTGGAGAGGTGTCTATTTAGGTCCTCTGCCTATTTTTTAATTGGGTTCTTTGTCTTCCTTTTGTTGAGTTGTATGAGTACTCTATATATTTTGGAAATTAACCCCTTATCTGATGTATCATTGGCAATTATGCTGTCCAATATAGTGGGTTCCCTTTCCATTTTGATGCTTGTTTCTTTTGCAACATTTTTTTTTTATCCTCACCCGAGGACATTTTTGCATTTATCTTCAGATAGAGCAGGAGGGAGAGAGGGAGGAAGAGAGAGAGAAACATTGATGTGTGTCTCTCACATCGACTGGTTGCCACCCACACAACCCCAGCTAGGGCCAGGGACAAACCACAACCGAGGTACGTGCCCTTAGTGGGAACCGAACCCGGGACTCTCTGGTCCATGGGCCGACGCTGTAACCGCTGAGCCAAACTGGCCAGGGCTTAAATTTCTTTTTTTTTCAATTGGTTTAGTTTGCCCATTTTAAACAATTCACAAATGTAAATATTAAAAATTAAAGCTATTTGACTCAGTGGTTAGAGTGTGGGCAGAGGACCAAGGAGTCTCTGGTTCAATTCTGATAAAAGACACATACCTTGGGTTCAATCCCCTGGCCTCTGTTTTGTCATGTGGGAGGCCACCAATAGATGTTTCTTTTTCTACTCCCCCCCCCCCCCAATCTAAAAATCAATGAAAAAATATCCTTTGGTGAGGATTTTTTTTTAAATCATGCCCTGGCCAGTTTGGCTCAGTGGGTAGAGCGTCGGCCCACAGGTTCAGTTCCCACTAAGGGCACGTACCTCAGTTATGGTTTGTCCCTGGCCCTGGTTGGGGTCGTGTGGGTGGCAACAAGTCGATGTGTCTCTCTCACATTGACACCCCCCCTCCCCCACCGCCCGCCGCTCTATCTGAAGATAAATGCAAAAAAATGTCCTCAGGTGAGGATTAAAAAAAATCATATTTCCCCCATCCCCAACCTACTCCTAGGGTTTTTAATTTTATTGTCAACTTCCCTTCCTTCCCTCTAGTAATAATTACATCAAACACATAGTGCTTACTAGGTGCATTGTTCTGACTGCTTTACATGTTAATCTTCACAACAACTATTATCAGCTTGATACTATTATTATCCACATTTTACAGATTAGGAAAGTGATGCACAGAGAAATTGTCCAAAGTACTACTCAGCTGCCTTCCAAAAAGGTTGTGCCAATTTGCAACCCTACATCCTTTTCCCCACATTTTCACCAGCAGTGCCTTTCCAAGGTTTCTAATCTTGGCATCACTGACACCCAAAATAGGAAAGGAGAAATAAGGAAAAATGAAGACTTGAAACATCATCTTCTACAATAATAATCAAAGGTTTAACATGTCCATTTGTCATAAAGGAGGAAGGAAGATGACACAAATGGCATTTAGGGATCTGGTTAACTCCAAAGGAAAGGAATAGAGCAAGGCATGTGAGTTTCAGTCAGAGGCAGATGGTAAAAGTTTCACAACCTGCTCTGTGGAGGAGAGCCCTGAGTTGTTGCCTTTGCTAATTTCAGTAGTGACATCATTAAACAGGGAGTTGATGGACATATGCACAGTCTGTTCTGGTGAGCCTGTAAGAACTGGTTCCAGTATGTCAACTGTAATTGAAAAAAATTTAAGTTATTAAAAAAAGAAAGAAATGTTTCTAGCACCTTACTAAGGCACCGGTAAAACCTCTAAGGCAGCTGAAATCTTAAGAACAAAGAGTCAACCATGCAACAATCTAGGAAGAAAGCATTCTAGGGCGAGGGAAGAGTTTGTGAATACAAAACCCAAGGCCAGAGTGAACATGCCACAAGTGAAGGGGGGAAGTGATTGTTACCAAAGCTTTGAGAGCTAGGGGGAGAATACTAGAGAGATGAGGTTCCAATGAAAGCAGGTATACACCAGGATAAGCACATTTTATTTTTTTATTATTTTTTTTATCCTCACCCGAGGACATTTTTTGATATTTTGTTCAGATAGAGTGGGAGGGAGAGAGAGAGAGAAAAACATCATCGACCTGAAAGGGATACATCAAGTGCTGCCTCCCTCACAATCCCAACCAGGCCCGGGGACAAACTGCAACTGAGGTACGTGCCCTTAGCCGGAACCGAACCTGGGTTTCTCTGGTCCACAGTCCAGTGCTCTAACCGCTGAGCCAAACCAGCCAGGGCAGGTTAAGCACATTTTAGAGAGGTGAGCAAGAATAATAAATTGCATGAGATGAACAGTCCAGATCCAGGCAAAGTAAGATGAAAAGAAAAGGAACTGGTGGGGTTTGATTCTGTCAAGGGCACGTACCTCAGTTAAGGTTCATTACCAGCCCTAGTCAGGGTCGTGTGGGAGGCAACCAATCAACATTTCTCTCTCTCTCTCTCTCTCACTCACACACACACACACACACACACACACACACACACTTTATCTGAAGATAAATGGAAAAAATATCCTCGGGTGAGGATTTAAAAAAAACAACAAACAAAAAGGAACTGATGGACTTTTATCAGAACAATCTAAGAAAATGGAACAGTAATTTAAAAGACTGGTGAGAGATGGTTTGGCCAGTGAGGAGACAGAAAGAAGACTCAAGATTTGTGACATACAGGAGGTAAGAGAAGGGACAAAAAGGGAACTGAATAGAGAAGGGACAAACAAGGGCACAGGTCCTGGCTGGTGTGGTTCAGTGGTTAGAGTGTCAGCCCTCCAAACGAAGGGTCAAGGGTTCAATCCCTGGTCAGGGGCATGTACCTGGGTTGTGGGTGCGATCCCCAGCCCCAGTTGTCTCTTTCACATGGATCCTTTTCTCTCTCTCTCCCCCTCCCCCTTCTTCCCTCCCTTCCACTCTCGAAAAATCAATGGAAAAAATATCCTCTCTGTTGCAGTTCAATCCCGGCCCTGGTTCGGGTCATTCAGGAGGCAACCAGTTGGTGTTTCTTTCTCTCTCTCTCCCTCCCTCCCACTGCAGCGGGGGGAAAAAAAACCAATGGAAAAATATCTTCAGGTGAGGATTAAAAAACAAAAACAGCCCTGGCCAGTTTGGCTCAGTGGTTGGAGCGTTGGCCTGCGGTCCAGAGAGACCCGAGTTCGGTTTCCGCTAAGGGTACGTACCTCTATTGCAGTTTGTCCTCGGCCCTGGTTGGGTCGTGTGGGTGGCAGCCACTCGATGTGTCCCTTTCACGTCGATGTTTCTCTCTCTCTCTCTCTCTCTCTCTCTCTCTCTTCTTCTCCCTCCCTCCTGCTCTATCTGAACAAAAAATGAAAAAATGTCCACGGGTGAGGATAAAAAAATCAACAACAACAACAAGGGGCACAGAAGGTAACCAAGATAAGTGAAATGACAAAAGATGCCTTCTCACAACCTGTACACTGTGTTTATAAAAGGACGATTCTACTGACCCATGGTTAGAAAAGCAGATATTCTGAATAATTTTTTTCCAAAGTCAAAGATAAACTTGTTTCTTTATAGCCATGTTCTCCATACTTAAGCTTCCTGGTTGCCAAGGCTACCCATTCACAGCTGTGGGGTATCTGCTTCAGGACTGTGTTAAAAGATCCATATCTTATCCGAAAAATGAGACCTGACACTTGTTCCAATCTCTGTCTTTCTAAACTGGGTTATCAGAGAAATCGCAGAGTGCCAGAAGGAAGACTTCCAACTGAAGCCTCAGAACCTGTCCAAATGAAGTGTTGGGGCCTGGTGGGGCTGATTTTGTGGTAAAATTAATGCTAATTTTCACTCTTCTCCACCAGGGGGCAGACTGACTCAACAAGTAACCTACTCCACGGTAATCCCGCTTTTTTCAAAGAAATTGGGATTCTAGAACTAAGGGCTTGTAACTATAACACCAGAATTCTAAAACTGCCCCAGAAGGATTCGACCTTCTTTGACCAGCCCTTCCAAAAATAAGCCTCCGATTTTTGTCAGCTCCCAGCACCATCCCTGCCTTCACCTTCATTTCCCCCAAATTTCTCCTAATTCCTCAAAAATTCCTCTGTCCCCTGGTCATCCCTTTTAAACTTCTCCTTCCCTTTACCCCAGCCTGTCTGGCCTCCTACTGGAAGAATGAGGTCCAGAGATAAAAAGGAGTCAGAGTAAGCCGTGAGAAATGGGGGAGACGGCTGGCCTGGGCCGTGCGGGGGAAGCCCAGGGAACAGAAGCCAGGCTCGCCTGGTCGAAGAGGGTGGGCGGGCAGGGGGTGGGGCCCGGAGGGGTGCCGCCTCTCTTTCCCGGAGCCTGGGCGGAGAGGGAGGAAAACTTCCTGGCCTGGGCTACCGGCGGCTGTGTCTACCAACTCTTCAGTCCCGCCTACCGGTGCCCAGCGCTTACCCTCCTCTCCCCCGGCTCCCTCCGGGTCCGCCATGGCCAAAGCCTACGACCACCTCTTCAAGTTGCTGCTGATCGGGGACTCGGGGGTGGGCAAGACTTGTCTGATCATTCGCTTTGCAGAGGACAACTTCAACAGCACTTACATCTCCACCATCGGTGAGCCCACTGGCCGTATCCCAGACCCCCGACTCCCCTGCCCTCATCCCCAGGCTCCCGCGTTACTAGTAGCCCCACCTTTCAGTCCCCTTAGAGTGAGGCTTCTAAACTCCGGTTCCTCAACCTCTGTTTCAGACCCATCCCCCATACATGGCTCTGGGTGGTACCCAAAATTCTAACTTCTCTGGAGCCTCCAGGTAACTCCTCCGTTGTGCCAGTCCCTCATTTTCTTGGTACCATTCTTCTTATCTCCCCAGATCCACATGAACCCTTCTCTGTTTCCCTCCTAGCTCCTCTTCACCCCTATCCACCTAGAACTCTTGATCCACTCTCCACATTTCCTGTATTCCCTCTCCCTGAACATCTGTCTCCCAACTCTGCTAGCCTCTTTCTGTCCCACTGAGTTTCAGACTCTCCATTGCATCTCCACCTTATCACCTACTTCTCAGTTTCCTTGCTTCTTAACTTAATAGGTGGTTGGGGAGAGGGAAACAGAGTGGCTGGGTGTGCTAGAGGGGGTGGCCCAAGGACTGTGATCCTGAAGATGCAGTCAGCCTGGTGAAGAAGGTGGGAATGAGGGGACTTTTGGGGTCTCTGAGTCAGCCTGGTGACTCAGCCTCCTCCCAAGTGTTCCCAACAGGCTTGGGGTAGGTGCCCAAGTTTCCACTAAGAACAGTGTTTCCCTTCCTCCCCTCTCATCTCTCTTAATCTACGCTGGTCTGGGAAATAAGACAAGGAGAGTCTCAAGACAATTCTGGTTAGAAAGGGGAAGGGAAAATGCCCCTTTTTCCTAGTTAAGTCTCAGGAGGAATCTTGTTTAGCCTCAAACTTTCTTGGTTCTAAGCCTGGCCTACTAATTAATTCACAAAATGGCATCAGCCACCTTTTTTCTCACTCTTTACCCTACAGGCCCAGGAGGGTGGGGGAGGGGTACAGAGAGTAGAGGATTCCGGGAAAACAGAAGGGAAAAGGAATCTGAAGATAATATTTTGGGTCAGACAGACTGAATGGAGAGAGTTGTCAGCTGGCATGGCTGAGTGGACCCAAGAAGTGCCTTCATGGCCTTAAGTCTCCCTACAGAATTTTCATCACCTTCTGTACCACAAAATTTATAAAATCTAAGTAAAAACAACGTGCTTGCTATACAAATACAGTTTAGAGGAAATTCTCCTAGTTTTACACTTCTGACAAGGCTGCTTTCCATGTGCCTCCCCTGCAGACTTGCTGGCACGGCCACTGTCTCTCCCCCAACACTTTTACCTGCACACACCTGTGTGTCTCAACTTCAATGTACTCTCTCCACTCCTAGGGATTGATTTCAAGATCCGCACTGTGGATATAGAGGGGAAGAAGATCAAACTGCAAGTCTGGTGAGTGAATGCCCTAGGACTCCTAACCCGCTCCTTCCAGCACTTCTAATCATTTATGTCACCTCACTCAGATGTACTTCCAGCTCTTCCATCTTGCTCATCTATTTTCAGCTTTTTCATAACTCTCTTGCCTCTCCTGGCTCCAGAGCTTGACAATAAATGTTTGTTGAGCTATAATGTAGAAACAGACTCTAAGCAGTTAAATAGCAAGTAGCAGAATTAAGACTTGACTCTAGCCCTGGCCAGCTTGGCTCAGCAGTTAGAGCATCGGCGTGTGGACCAAAGAGTCCCGGATTCAGTTCCAGTCAAGGGCACGTTCCTCAGTTGCATTTGGGTCCCTAGCCCTAGTCAGGGCTGTGCGGGAGGCAACTAGTCAATGTGCCTCTCTCACATCGATGTTTCTCTCTCTCTCCTCCTCCCACTCTGTCTGAAAATAAATGGGAACATATTCTTGGGTGAGGATTTAAAAGAAAAAAAGACTTGACTCTAAGTCTAGTGCTTTCTCTAAATTATGGAGAGCTCAGGCCCTGGCCAGATAGCTCAGTTGGTTAGAGCATAGTCCCGATATGCCGAGATTGCAGGTTAGATCCCTGGCTGGAGTACACCCAATGAATGCTTAAATAAGTGGAACAATATATAGATCTTTCTCTCTCTCTCTCTCTCTCTCAAAATAAATAAATAAATAAGTAAATAATGGAGAGCCCAGAAAGCCTAGTATAGAGGTTTGACATGACTGTCAACAAGGAAGCTGGAGACCTTGAGGGTACGAGGCTTAATGGAGGCATTATGATACAATAAATAAGAGCAAACTGGTTAAAATTCTAGATCTGTTACAGAATGACCTTCATTAATTGTTATTGTTTTTTGTATAATAAAGAACAATAAAACATGTCTCATAAGAATAAAATGAAGATTAGGCAAATGACACATGCATATAAAATGATACATACACAGTGCTTGGCACAGACTAAGTATCCAGTGAATAAACCAGAGAGATCTTGTTTCTTAGGCCTCTCCATCTTAATATCAGCCCAACTGCCTTTCATCCCTTCCCCCTTTTACTGTTTCCTGATTCTGTTCCTTTCAACCCCATCATGTGAAAGCTAAATTTTTAGCTGGTGGGGAATAGGGAGAGTCTCTCTTTGGAGAGCCCTTCCCTCTATCCTATCCAATGTAATATTCTACCTCCTCAGGGACACAGCTGGCCAAGAGCGATTCAAGACGATAACTACTGCCTATTACCGTGGAGCCATGGTACAAAGTGTGGGTCTGGACAAGGGATGAGGGCATGAGGCAATGAAATGTAGGTTTATGAGTACAGAGAAGCCAGGGAAAATGGGGGTTTACACAGAGTGGATTGCAGAGGGTCCCACATGGCTTAGTGATTTGACTCATGGATAAAACTTATAGGGTCAGTGGGAAGCCTAAACAGGGGAGTATGGTCCAAGCCTCCATTTTGAACTCTTGCCATCTTCCAGGGCATTATTCTAGTATACGACATCACTGATGAGAAATCCTTTGAGAATATTCAGAACTGGATGAAGAGCATCAAAGAGGTGAGCATCCTCCCAGAGAGACGGGGGAATTGGGTAGAACATAGAGGATGAAGGGGATTGTGAAGATGAGCAGAACCCAATTTTTCTTGTCTTACCCTTTTGCTCCCAGAATGCCTCAGCTGGGGTGGAGCGCCTCCTGCTGGGAAACAAGTGTGACATGGAGGCCAAGAGGAAGGTACAGAAGGAGCAGGCAGATAAGGTAAGGACCAGGTTGGGCAATGTTTTAGAATTGGGCTTGGAGGGCCAAGATGAGGTCGGATTGCGGAGGACTTGGCTGCTGCCCTTTATTCAACTCTTTTCTTCCCACTTCACCCCCTACAGTTGGCTCGGGAGCACGGAATCCGATTTTTTGAGACTAGTGCCAAGTCCAGTATGAATGTGGACGAGGTGAGACACACCCCATCCCCACCCCACAAAGAGATGGAGTGCTGGTAGATACACTTATCCTTTTCTCCACTCTGTACTGACCAATCTCTTTTCCCTGGTAGGCTTTCAGTTCCCTGGCCCGGGATATCTTGCTGAAGTCAAGAAGCCGGAGATCGGTGAGTTGTTTCTGCTGGGCTAAATACAACTGTGGGGGGTAGTAAAAACTGAGGAGGGGAGCCACGCTAAGACCTCTTATGAGGGTGGGTCCTCTGCAAACAGTTTATAGCCTTGCACGGCTGGTGTGGCTCAGTGGATTGAGCATCGTCCCATGGACTGAAAGGTCCCAGCTCAATGCCCAGTCAGGGCACATGCCTGGGTCTCGGGCTTGATCCCCAGTAGAAGGCATGCAGGAGGCAGCCAGTTGGGCTGTTTCTCTTTCACATTGATGTTTCTATTTCTCTCTCTCCCTTCCTCTCTCTCTCTCTAAAAAAAAAAAAAGTCAATAATAACATATTTAAAAAAAATTTTACGGCCTCAGACCCCAGCCAGCCATCCTCACCCTAACCTCTGTGCCTTTCTGCCTCTAGGAAAACAGCAGCAAGCCCTCCAACACTGACCTGAAAACTTGCGACAAAAAGAACACCAAGTGCTCCCTGGGCTGAGGACCCCTTTCTGCCTCCCTACCCTAAGCCTGGAGGTTGAACCTGAGGGAAGCAGGGCTCAGGGCTGAATGGGGGAGAGATAGCAGGTGGGGCTTGGAGAGATAAAGATGGGTGGATGGTGAAAGAATGGGGAGAAAATGGAGAAGAAAAAAAGGAAAGTGAGAGAGGAAAGAGGAAAAGAAGAAAAGGAGGTAGAATAGAGAGGGAAGAAGCAATAAGGGAAAGATTGAGGAAGTAAAAAAAGGTAAGAAGGAGTAGGAAAAGAGGGAGGAGAAAAGGAAGGATAGATAACCCTGGGCCTCAGACCTTCCCTGGGTTTCCAGGGCAAACATAAATGTAAATAAATAATTGATTTATTTTGTTACTGGATCAGGTTTTAGGGTCCTGTGAGAGACTGGCTCAGCACCATCCCCTGAAAGTGTGGCCCTATTCTGTCACTCTGCATGGTCTTTCTCACTATTAAAGACCTCCATTTGCACAAATGTCCCTAGTTTGGGTAACTCATCATTGTCGGAATTGCTTTTTACTCCTAAACCTAATTCCTACCTCTGAGGTAGTTCGGCTGCCTGAACCTGGCTGGGTTCCTGTGATGGCAGGACTACTCCTACCGCTTTCTCCCTTCTCCAGCTGTTTCACTGACTAGGAAAACAGCAAGGAGCAGAGGTTCTCTGAACTTGAATGTGTGGACGGACATAGTTTGGATGGGGAACCTTTTTTCTGACAAGGGCCATTTGGATATTTATAATATCTTTTGCGAACCATACAAAATTATCAATTTAAAAATTAGCCTGCTAGCCTGGCTTATGTGGCTTAGTAGATTAAGCATCGTGTCCAGTGGACTGAGAGGTCGCGGTTCCATTCCCATTCAGGGCACATGACCGGGTTTCAGGCTCGATCCCCAGTGGGGGTTGTGCAGGAGGCAGCCGATTGATGTATCTCTTACATCGATGTGTCTATCTTTCTCTCTAAAATCAATAAAGAAAAAAAAATTAGCCTGCTACATTTGGTCATCCTAATTTGGTGAGGTGTGGATGTTAGCTGGTATTGATTTCCCAGGGTTTATACAGCCTTCGGGCCGGATTTCCCCACCCCTGGTCACAGGATCCTTGTGGGCAGAACCTTCTCCTAGAGAGTGCAGGGTTTTTGTTTTTTGGGTTTTTTTTATCCTCACCCGAGGACATTTTTGCATTTATCTTTAGATAGAGTGGGAGGGAGAGAGGGAGGATGAGAGAGAGAAACATCAAGAGGTCGCCACCCACGCAACCCAACTGGGTCCGGGGACAAACTGCAACTGAGGTATGTGCCCTTAGTGGGAACCGAACCTGGATCTCTCTAGACTGTGGGCCGACACTCTAACCATTGAGCAAAACCGGCCAGGGCTTTTTTTTTTTCTTTTCTTTTTTTAATGAATTTTTTATTTATTTTTTTGTTACAGATATTTTATCTTTTTACCCCATTGGCACCCCCCACCCCACCCCACCTCCGCCCCATCCCCGGCTTAGTTGTCCATGTCCATTGGTCATGCATACATGCATATAAGTTCTGTGGTTTATCTCTTCCCACTCCCCCACCCCCTCTTCTGAGGGATGTCAGTCTGTGTCCTACTTCCATGTTTCTGGGTCTACTGTATTCCTCAGACTGTTATGTTCATTATATTCCGTATATAAGTGAGATCATGTGGTATTTGTCTTTTTCTGCTTGGCTTCTTTCACTTAGGATAATACTTTCCAGGTCCCTCCATGTTGTCTCAAAGGATAAGAGATCTTTCTTTCTTACCGCTGCATAGTACTCCATTGTATATATGTACCACTGCTTTTTTATCCATTCGTCTACTGATGGACACTTGGGCTGTTTCCAGATCTTAGCTATTGTAAATAGTGCTGCTATGAACATGGGGGTACATATATTCTTCCTGATTGATGTTTCAGGCTTCTTAGGGTATATTCCCAGCAGTGGGATCACTGGGTCAAATGGAAGTTCAATTTTTAATTTTTTGAGGTAGCACCATATTGTTTTCCATAGCGGCTTTTTTTTTTTTCTTAAGAAGGACTTTTTTGGGCCTCCCCAGGGATTGACAGCCCCACCCTCAGGGAAATAACAGGACCTAGTATTGTTATCCAAGCAAGTATCTGATTCTGCCAGCAATTCCTTTAGGTAGCTGGTAGGCATTTTATCTGCTCTTATAGATGAGGAAAATGAGACACAGAAGAGGTTCATTAAAAAAAATAAATAAATAAGAGCCCGGCTGGTGTGGCTTAGTGGTTGAGCATCAACCCTGCACCAAAAGGTCCCTAGTTTGATTCCCAGTCAGGGCACATGCCCAGGTTGTGTGGCCTGAATCCCCAGTGGGGGGCATTCAGGAGGCAGCCAATGGATGTTCTCTCTCTTCGATGTTTCTTTCTATCCCTCCCTTCCTCTCTATCTAAAATCAATAAAGAAAAAATAAATTAAGAAAAAGAAGAGCCCTGGCTGGTTGCACAATGGTTAGAGCGTCGGCCTGCGGTCCAGAGAGGCCCGGGTTCGGTTCCTGCTAAGGGCATGTACCTCGGTTACAGTTTATCTCGGTTACATGGTTGGGTTGTGCGGGAGACAGCCACTCAATGTGTCCCCCTTTCACGTCGATGTTTCTCTCTCTCTTCCTCTCTCTCCCACTCTGAACAAAAGTTGGAAAAATGTCCTTGGGTGAGGATAAAAGAAGGAAGGAGGGAAGGAAGGAAGAAGGGAGGGAGGGAAGATGGAAGGAAGGAAGGGAAGAAGAGATTCATTTATTTATAAATATTGAGCATCTACTATGAGCCAAATACAGTAGTAAAGTTAACATAACCTTTGGGTGTATAAGCAAATTTTAATAGAAACATCCCCTAACTACTGAATACAAAGGCCAAAAGTTTGTTCAGATAGAGTGGGAGGGAGAGAGAGAGAAACATCGATGTGAAAGGGACACATTGAGTGGCTGCCACCCGCATGACCAACCAGGGCCGGGGACAAACTGCAACCGAGGTATGTGCCCTTAGCGGGAACCGAACCCGGGTCTCTCCGGACCGCAGGCAGACACTCTAACCACTGAACCAAACCGGCCAGGGCTCTCTTCCTCTCTTTATAAAAATCAATAAAAACAGCCCTGGCCGGTTTGGCTCAGCGGTTAGAGCGTTGGTTTGCGGTCCAGAGAGACCTGGGTTCTGCTCCCGCTAGGGGCACATACTTCGGTTGCAGTTTGTCCCCGGCCCTGGTTGGATCGTGTGGGTGGCAACCTCTCGATGTGTCCCTTTCACATCGATGTTTCTCTCTCTCTCTCCCCCTCCCACTCTATCTGAATAAAATATCAAAAAAAAAAAATCAATAAAAACATATTTTTAAAAAAAGAGTCAACCAATGAATGCATAAACAAAGTGGAACAACAAATCAAAGTTTCTTTCTCTTTCATTCTCAAAAAAAACACAAAAACCGCAGGCTTGATACACAGCCTTCTTAGTATATATAACCCCCTTTTACTATTACACTATAGATTTATATATATATATATTTTTTTAATCCTCATCTGAGGATATCCTATTTATCTTCAGGTAGAGTGGGAGGGAGGGAGAGAGAGAGAGATAAACATTGATGTGATAGAGAGAGACTTCGAATGGCTGCCTCCCACACAACCCTGACCGGGGCCGGGGATTAAATGCAACCAAGTTATATGCCCTTGCCTGGAATCGAACCCACAACTCATTGGCCATGGGCCAATGCTCCAATCGCTGAGCCAAACTGGCCAGGGCACACAATATTTTTTTAAACAGTGAAATTATCTCACAGACTTGATTTTTTTTTTTTTTTAATCCTCACCCGAGGACTTTTTTGCATTTATCTTCCGATAGAGTGGGAGGGAGAGAGGGAGGAAGAGAGAGAAAGAAACATCAACGTGAGAGAGACACATCGAGTGGTTGCCACCCACATGATCCCAACGGGCTGGGGACAAACTGCAACCGAGGTACGTGCCCTTAGCAGAAACCAAACCTGGGACTCTCCGGTCTGCAGGCCGATGCTCTAACCGCGGAGCCAAACTGGCCAGGGCCAGACTTGATCTTTTATCAGGATAATGAAAATATCAGATTTGGTTTAGATAAAATACTGTTAGAAGTTTTTTTGTTGTTGTTTTTTTTTATTCATGATGTCCAAGGCATTTAAGAAGCCCCCAAGGCACGTGGGCTAGTGTGGCTCGGTTGAGCCACCAATGTCCCATGCACCAAGTGGTCCCTGGTTCAATTCCCAGTCAGGGCGCATGCCTGGGTTGTAGATGCCCAGTAGGAGTCGTGCAGGAGGCAGCTGATAGATGTTCTCTCTCTCCCTCTCTAAAATCAATAAAAACATTAAAAAAGAAAGAAAGAAAATCCCCAAGCCTTCAGTGTAGAAGTGAACACACAAACCTGGAGTCAGAGCAATTTTTTTTGTGCTGCTGTTTCTGTTGGTAAAAGACAACACTCAGAAAAAAGTCAAACAGTGCTGGGAGAAGAACTTGGAAATTAATTTGATAAATGTGGACAATAATTTGATAAATGTATTAAGTATGCAAACTTTGATGGGATAATGTCCTCTGAGTCTTATGTTTGAGCTCTGTAGTCAAGTGCCAGCTAGTTTAATTTGCCCAAAATGAGCCCTAGCCTGTTTGGCTCAGCAATTAGAGCATCAGCACTCAGGCTAAGGGGCCGCAGGTTTGATTTCTGGTCAAGAGTGGGTACCTGGGTTGCAGGTTAGATCCCCTGCCCCAGTGGGGGTTGTGCAGGAGGTAACCATGATGTGTCTCTCACACATAAATGTTTCTCTGTCTCTCTCTCCGTCTCACTCTATCTAAAAGAAACGTAATGGAAAAAATAATCCTTGGGTGAGAATATAATACTACCACTACTAATAATAATAATAATTATAATTTGCCCAAGATAAGGAAAGGCTTGGCATTTTGTGAACCCCAAGAAGATTGATATCGTCATACCCCAGAGCAGGTATTTTCTTTTTTTTGATACATGCCCCTAGCGGGAACTGAACCCGAGACTCTCTGGTCCATAGGTCGACACTCCAACCGCTGAGCCAAACCAGCCAGGGCTACAGCAGGAATTTTTAAAATTCAGTTTCAGTGTAGAGACCTTATTCAGTTGCTTAGTATGACTATTGGAAGTGAAATGTTACAAGATCTCACAGCTTGTCATGAGACATGGTAGAAGTGAGTAAGGAGTAACAGAATACTAGATTACAGCATAAACCCTTTTTTTTTTTTTTTAGCCTCACCCGAGGACATTTTCCCATTTTTTGTTCAGATAGAATGGGAGGGAGAGAGAGGAAGAGAAATATCGATGTGAAAGAGAAACATCGAGTGGTCACCACCCGCACGACCCAACCAGGGCCGGGGGCAACCGAGGTATGTGCTTTTAGCAGGAACTGAACCCGTGTCTCTCTGGACCGCAGGCTGACGCTCTAACCGCTGAGCCAAACCGGCCAGGGCTAAACTTTTATTTTAGCTAAAAACTACTGGAAAAAACCCACACTCTACTTTCTGTAACATACAACTATTGACACATACAAATAACTTAAAGGAAAAGTAGTCACAAGCAAATTGAAAGCTCAGCCCTCACCAGGTTTTATTTTAATTTTTTCCAACTCTCACCCAGTGATCTTTCCATAGTCTGATAGTTCCTGTTCCTGAGAATCCAGCTTTAAGTATGATAGAAAGACAGAGTTTATGGGATGTAGCATCAGATATACTGTTAATTCCAAAATAAAGTGTATTAGCCTTTAAGGCTGTGGGTAAGGGGAACAGCTATGGTCACTAGGCTAGAAAGACTTGTTGGGAGAAGAGAATATAGAGCAGAGTTAACAAGAAAAAAAAAAAGTGTGGTGACAAGCCTTCAAAAAAAATTTAAAGCAAGTTTTAGAGAGACGGGGAGGGGGAGAGAGAGAGACGTTGATGTGAGAGTGAAACATGCATCAAAAAACATCAACATTGGCTGCCTCCGAACGCCCCCTACCAGAGATGGAGCAGACTAGAACCTGCAACATTTTGGTGCACACGCCAATGCCCAACCAACCAACTGAGCAATACTGGCCAGGGCTGGGGACAAGCCTTTTAACAAGAAAAAAGTATGGAGACATAAGATCACAAGGCCTTTCCCCATACTTTATTCTTGTTAACTCTGTTCCACATTCTCCTCTCTCAACAAATCTTTCTAGCCAAGAGATTATAAAATTATTATTATTAACAGTGCATATAATCATATCAAGTTTAACTACCTCTTATCTTCTGAGGAATTTAAAAAACTCACACGGCCCCTGATCAGTTTGCTAAGTGGTTAGAGCGTCGGCCCTTGGACCAAAGAGTCACGGGTTCCATTCCCTGTCAAGGGCATGTACCTGGGTTGCAGGTTCGATCCCAAGCCCTGGTCAGGGTCTTGTGGGAGGCAACCAGTTGATATGTCTCTCTCGCATCAATGTTTCTGTTTCTCTCTCTCTCTCTACCTCCCTTCTTCCCATTAAAAAAAATTTTTTTTCCTTTATTGATTTCAGAAAGAGAGGAAGTGAGAGGGAGAGAGAGAGAGACAGAAATATTGATGAGAGAGAACATCGATTGGCCACCTCTTGCATGCCCCTCACTGGGGATCAGGCCCACTACCTGGGCATGTGTCCTGACTGGGAATTGAACCAGCAACCTCTTGGTGCGTGGATCGACACTCAACACTGAGCCATACTGGCTGGACTTTCCCATTCTATCTGAAAATCAATGGAAAAATATCCTCAGATTGCCCAGCTGGTGTGGCTCAGTGGACTGAGGGTCATTTCATGGACTGAGAGGTCCCGGTTGGATTCCCAGTCAGGGCACTTACCCAGGTTTCTTTGGGCTCTATCCCTGGAGGGGTGTGCAAGAGGCAGCCAATCCATGTTTCTCCCTCACATCAATGTTTCTCTCTCTCTCTCTCCCTTAAAATAAAAATCAATAAAATGTATTTTTTTTAAGGAAAATATCTTTGGGTGTGGATTAAAAAGAAAGGCAACTCACATTGTCCAGTTGTATGGGAGGCTGCAGACATACATATATGCAAAACTAGGGGGGAAATTCCAGCAGAATAAAAGAGTCACTATTACCAGACAGTAAAGGATGAACCCAGCCTCACCAGTGTGGCTCAGTGGTTGAGCGTCGACCCATGCTCCAAGAGGTGGCCAGTTCCATTCCCAGTCAGGGCACATACCCAGATAGTGGGCCTGATCTCCAGCGGGGGGCATGCAGGGGGTGGCCAATCAATGTTCTCCCTCATTGATGTTTCTATCTCTCCCTCTCCCTTCCTCTCTCTCTCAAATCGGTAAAGAAAAAGAAAAGGAAAAAAAAAAAGATGAGCCCTGGCTGGTTTGGCTCAGCGGTTAGAGCGTTGACCTGTGGTCCAGAGAGATCCGGGTTCGGTTCCTGCTAAGGGCACGTACCTCGGTTGCAGTTTGTCCCCGGCCCTGGTTGGGTCATGTGGGTGGCAACCACTAGATGTGTCCCTTTCACACTGATGTTTCTCTCTCTCTCTCCTTCCCACTCTATCTGAACAAAAAATGGAAAAATGTCCTTGGGTGAGGATTAAAAAAAAACAACACAAAACAAACAAAAGGATAAACCCAAAGTATGGATCAAGTCACAGCAGTCTGGAGTTCTCGATATGTATCAAGGTTAAACTCCATTGAGATGGATAGCAGGCGCCCTGGCCGGTTTGGCTCAGCGGTTAGAGCGTCAGCCTGCGGTCCTGAGAGACCCAGGTTCGGTTCCCGCTAAGGGCACGTACCTCGGTTGCAGTTTGTCCCCGGCCCTGGTTGGGTCATGCAGGTGGCAGCCACTCGATGTGTTCCTTTCACATGATGTTTCTCTCTCTCTCTGTTCCTCTCTCTCCCTCCCACTCTACCTGAACAAAAAATGGAAAAATGTCCTCGGATGAGGATAAAAAAAAAACATGAGATGGATAGCAGGCCAAAATCTTTGGCTTTGGCCTGGTGGTTGAAAGTCTGGGCTCAATCAAGCCTTAGCTCTCCCACCCCTAGCTGGGTGACCTTGGACAAGTCACTTATATACTTTGAGTTTACACACAATATAGGATTCTAACTCCTCTTGCTCATCAGATAAAGATAATACCTACTCTGACACCTCAGGATTATGGAGGAGGATCAAATGAACTAAATGTTGGATTTAAAAAGTATGACAGAAATGTGAGGCAATATAATTAGAAAATAAGTATTTGCACATTTAATTGGCATCTCGACATAAAAACCCTAAGAAAATGCACGTTAGCATTTCCATTTAACCCAGAACACTGAGGGCCAGATGCCATCTTAAAGTCATGTAGCTAATCTAGTTGGACTGAACACTTGTTGGAACTTCAAATCTCATGCTCTTCTTATTTCGCTAATGATTATTCCATTATGTAGGAGCAAGGGAGAGCTGAAAACATTTCAGGCGGTTATTCAAGGACCAGTTCTGGGGCTCAATCAAAATGAGAGAAGGTGTCATCTGAGGAGAGCTGAGTGGGAGCCCAGAGACAGGGCAAGGCTCCATGTTCACCGTGGGTTTTGGTAATTCCTGCTTCCGGAGGGAGAAGAAAGTTCCTGGACTGCCAACCCAGCTTCTCCCCTTGACCATTCAGGGCAGGAAGAAGGAGACGGGTAAGAGCGTAGGAAAGACTCAATCTTAATGGTAAATCCCAGGATTTTAAGGAAAGTGCAAAGTCCTGAGAGGGCGACGTATGGTTCTTTTTTACGTGTCGCAGCTCATCCAGCCCAGATGGGTAAACAAGCGACGGGTCAGGGAGCATCGAGAGCACAGTTTCGCCGCCATTTCCTCCATTCCCACAAAGGACTACCAGGACCACAATGCCACGGTGCGCCGAGCCAATGAGCCGCACTTCTTCCCCGGGAGCGGCGCCGGCGCCGGCGCCACCAACCCCGGGAGACTACAAGGCCCAGCAGGCACCGCGCGCGCCCCCGCCGACCCGCCTACCTCTGGAAAACCCAGCCCAGCAGTCAGGCCCCACGGTCGGGTTCCGCACTTAGGAGCCTTAGCAGGGCAAGATGGCAGCGCCGGGAGCCCAAGTGGAGGTGAGGGGGTCCTAGGGCCGTAGGGCCCTACCCAATAAGCGTATTGGCTTTTCTCGTCGTGGCCATGGGGACCTCCCATTAGAGCCTTTGACTTGAGGCAACCCCAGCATTTCGTAGTTTTGACCTGGACCCTTCCGGAGGGCTGTAGAGTAAGCGCCTCTTCTGCCCTCCGACGGAGACACGAGACCTGTCCAGGAGGCCCGTCTGTCCCGACAGGTGCGACACTGAGCACTCCATGCCTGCGGGCGCGGGGAGGCGTGGCCTCCCCCAGGGCCGCCACCTCTACTGGTTGCTCTGCGCGTTCACCTTAAAGCTCTGGTAAGGAGGGGCTGAGGGCAGGGGAAAAGGAGGGAGTGGACGGAAGATCGGAGAGTCCCTGACCCCGGAGATGGGGAAGGTCGTGTCCTTCCACCGTGGGGGTGCAGGGCTTCTCCGTTTTCTGGCTTCTGACTTTTGCCCCTCCCCCTCCCCCTCAACACTGCAGTCAAGCAGAGGCTCCGGTGCGGGAGGAGAAACTGTCAGGTGGGTGATGGTCTTGGAACCCGATGGCCCTATAGTTTTTGTTTTGACATATATCAGGAGCACAAGTGGAAAAGGGTGGCACCACGTGAAATGAGCGCATTGAAAGTTGCTGGGAATGTGCTGGGAAGTTGGATGGGCAGAACCTTTGGGAGAAATATTTTCTGAATGAGGTTTGGGGCTGGCATTTCTCTCCCCTTTTAGTGAGCACCTCAAATTTGCCATGCTGGCTGATGGAAGAGTTTGTGGTGGCAGAAGAGTGTGCTCCATGTTCTAATTTCCAGGCTGTGAGTATGTTTTCTCCCCATTTTTCTCCCCACATTTAATCAGTCCCTATGTCTTTTTGTTTCTTGACCAATACGAAAGGTTTATTTAACAAAAGTTCATTATGAAAATATACACTACTCAATTTTTATATTGTGGAAAACAGGTGCTGTGGAGAGGGTGAACACAGCCATTCTTCATACTTGTCCCAAGGCTGTTAATCTTCATCGGAGGATAATTTTTCCTTTGATTTTTAGAGAGTGGAAGGGAAAAAAATAGGGGGAGAGAGAGAAACATAGAAGTGAGAGAGACACACCAACTGGTTGCCTCCTGCACCAGCAGTTCCAACAAGATACTATTTCCTCCTATTACCACCACCGTTCCAATATTGTTTTGGTTGACATCTCCACACATTTATCTATTACAATCATAAAAGCATCAAATCCTCACAGTATTCCTTGGACATGTCTGTCACCATTTATTTTTGTATTTTTTAAGTTTCTTTTTTAAATTAATTTATTTTTGTTACAGATGTTTCTCCTTTTTTCCCCATTGACACCCTCCTCCCCATCCCCCCCACCCCATCCCCAGCTTTGTTGTCCATGTCCATGGGTTATGTGGACATGCATATAAGTTCTGTGATTTATCTCTTCCCTCCCCCCTCCCCCTCTTCTGAGGGTTGTCAGTCTGTACCCTACTTCCATGTCTCTGGATCTACCCTGTTCCTCAGACTGTTATGTTCATTATATTTCACAAATAAGTGAGATCATGTTATATTTGTCTTTCTTTGCTTGACTTGTTTCACTTAGGATAATACTCTCCAGTTCCCTTCATGTCGTCTCAAAGGATAAGAGATGTTTCTTTCTTACAGCTGCATAGTACTCCATTGTGTATATGTATCACAGCTTTTTTATCCATTCGTCTACTGATGGACACTTGGGCTGTTTCCAGATCTTAGCTATTGTAAATAGTGCTGCTATGAACATGGGGGTATATATATTCTTTCTGATTGGTGTTTCAGGCTTCTTAGGGTATATTCCTAGAAGTGGGATCACTGGGTCAAATGGCAATTCAATTTTTAAGTTTTTGAGATAACACCATAGTGTTTTCCATAGTGGCTGCACCAGTCTGCATTCCCACCAGTAGTGTACTAGAGTCCCCTTTCCTCTTTTAAATCCTCACCCAGGGACATGCTTTTATTGATTTCGGAGAGAGAAACATTTGATTGGAGCAAAGTATCAGTCAGTTGCCTTCCACATGTGCCCTGACTGGGCATCGAACCTGCAATCTGGGTCTGTGTCCTGACTGTAAATCAAACCTGTAACTTTTCACTGTATGGAATGACACTTCAGCCATCTGCGCTACACCAGCCAAGCAGCCACCATTTAATTTTAGTGATAACTTTTTGTTCATAAATTTTATTAACTCAGAGGGTGAACTTTGCTTCTGATGTCTACTGAGTCAGCTGAAAGATACCTCCAAATGAAACTTGTTGCCTCTTGCCTGGCTGATATGGCTCAGTGGATTGAATGTCGTCCCATAGACTGAGAGGTCCCAGTTTGATTCCCAGTCAGGGTACATGCCCAGTTTGCCAGCTCCATCCCTGGTGGGAGGCATGCAGGAGGCAGCCCATTGATGTTTCTTCTCACATTTATGATTCTATCTCTCTATCCCTAAAAAATATTAAAACAAATTTTTTTTAAAAAAAGAAAGAGCCCTGGCCAGTTTTGCTCAGTGGTTAGCGCGTTGGTCTGCGGTCCAGAGAGACCCGGGTTCGGTTCCCGCTAAAGGCGCGTACCTCGGTTGCAGTTTGTCCCCAGACCTGGTTGGTCATGTGGATAGCAGCCACTCAATGTGTCCCTTTCACGCCGATGTTTCTCTCTCTCTCCCTCCCACTCTATCTGAACAAAAACTGGAAAAAAATGTCCTCAGGTGAGGATAAAAAAAAAAAGAAAGAAACTTGGTTCCTCTCCTGCTCTCACCACAGTCCCTAAGCCTAACTATGCCTTGTCTTTGCATTGTCTTTTGTCTTTTTCCTTGTGTAGTCCAAATGAATTTGTCTTCCCTCTGAAAATGTGCCCCTTCTTTCCAAGTTAGTGGTAACATTCAGCTAATAACCATGTCTTGTTCATTTTATTATATTTTTTTGGTTAATCCTCACCTGAGAATATTTTTCATTGATTTTTTTAGTGAGAGTGGGAGGGAGCGGGAGAGACAGAGACAAACATCGATGTGAGAGAGACACATTGATTGTTGGCCTTCCACATGTGCCTTAATGAGGGCCAGGGATTGAACCTGCAACTCAAGTACATGCCGACCTATTCGTTTTTTTTGTTTTTTTTTTTTTAATCCTCCCCCAAGGATATTTTTCCATTTATCTTCAGACAGAGTGGGAGGGGGGGAGAGAGAGTAACACTGATGTCAGACACATCGACTGGTTGCCTCCTGCATAACCTCAACCAGGGCTGGGGACGAACTATAACCGAGGTACATGCCCTTGACTGAAATCAAACCCAATAATCTGGTCTGCAGACTGGCGCACTAACCACGGAGCAAAACCAGCTAGGCACTGACCTATTCATTTTTAATCCACTAGGCTCTGGAACCTGTCCCCACCTCTCCTAGAATATTGCCTTTGAAGTTTTCTAACACATTCCTAATCATGCAGCCACCACCTCTGCCATCTCCATTAGAACGCTTCATTAGTTCTCTGTTGCCTGCCAGCTGAGCCATAGCTCTTGGGCACTTGCCCATTCTGAATGGCAGCCTTTCTCCTTCTCTTGCCCCTTCCTAACATGTGCTTTGGTCCTTTTCTCCTGGCAGAAAACCACCCCTGAATGTGGTTCCACAGGGTATGTGGAGAAAATCACATGCAGCTCATCTAAGAGGAATGAGTTCAAAAGGCAAGTGCTGTTTCTCTTCTTGAAACCTCCTAGATCACCTCCTTTGCTCCTGTGACCTTAGATAGATAGTCCCACCTCTTCCTCTTGGTCTTAAGTAGTATGGCGTATTGGAAAGTGGAAGGGATTTGGAACCAAATTACTTCAACCCAAGTCCCACCTTTACTTCTCAGCAAGTCCCACCTCTACTTCTCAGCACTATATTAATGGCCATATTTTCTCATTAGTAAAATTGGTTAATACTTGCTCTGCTTATCTCACCAGAAAATAAGTTACATGATATATTTGAGTGGGATATATGCACTGTGAACATAATAGACTCTAGTTTTCTCTTTTTCTCTCAGGTGTGGTATCTTGGTTAGGCTGAAGTAGAAGGGAGATTAGAGGGAGAGACTGTTTGGCCTTCCCTGAGAATAACTGTTTCTTCCTACCCTCAGCTGCCGCTCAGCTCTGATGGAACAACACTTATTCTGGAAATTTGAAGGGGCTGTCGTGGGTGTGGCCTTGGTCTTCGCTTGCCTTGTCATAGTTCGTCAGCGACAGCTGGACAGAAAGGCTCTGGAAAAGGTCCGGAAGCAAATCGAATCCATATAGCTACCGTCTACCCTTTTATGTGGGTCTTAAAGACCCTGCCTCAGATAAAGAAAGTGGAATGGACTGACTTGTATCCCTGGTATACTGGAGAGTGGGGAAACAAACAAAAAAAACATTCTTCCATCTTGACTAGATCATTAATGAGCAGAATAAAAAGAGTAAAATAGTTTCCTTCTCTGTTGTGATTTGACTTGGGGCAGGAAGTCATGAAGGCAGAGAGGGAAAGAGGTAGCAACTTTAGGCCCCAGTTTATCAAGCATCTATCTCCCTCTCTTCTATTTATTTAAAACTCTAGAATAAAATTTCAGCAAAAAAAAGTTTATTTTTAATTTGTGTTTCCCCTCAACCCTATCTCCAAAGAAGAAATAAAATCACAGAACATAACAAAAGTATTTGAGGCACCACCTCACATAGGCAGACTGGACCTCAGGGTATAGACATCTAGGGCATCCTGATGTGATTCAGACCCCTGAGGCCAAAGAACCCTGAGTGGGAATCCCAGGGGGAGGCAGAGCCATAGGGGAGCCCTGGCTTCCTTATGTGATTGAGTGGTGGACTAGAAAGTATTCCAGCTCACATCTCATCTGCATGCAGCCCAGTTCTGACATGCCCACTGGGGCCTGTCTTCCCTCCTATATTCTCAAGTGGTGTCCTTGTTGAGTCATTTGCATTCTTGACCCCTGGCGGCTCCCCCAGTCTGGGCTTTACCTCTGGGGTCTCCCAATTTTGTATGTCCTTCTGAGTCAGGATATTTCTGGAAATCACTGGGGTGAAGGAAAAAGGGCATAGTTGAATGCTCCTTGGGTCAGAAATCCTAGACAGGACATGCCCTCCCTCCCACCTCTTGACTACCCAGGAGAACACCCCCACTTGCTCACCAGGTAAAAAGAGTCCTTCCCTGCCCTTGACTCTCACCTCCATGGGGCTGGTAATCCTCAGACCCAGCTTCTGGTAGACCTTGAAAGGGGCTGAAACTGGGCAGGATGATGAGAGCCAGGGAAAAAAGAAGGATCTGAAAGAAAGCAAAAAGATACTTGGGCTGTGGGGACAATAAAGGAAGGGGTAGAGAGCAGTTGGAATCATCAGGGATGGGAAGATTCATATGGCTTGGGAGTAGGGGTATCAAGATGGAAGTGTGGCAGAATTTGGTGGAAGTGGGAGGTGATGGGAAGTAGACTAATGGTACCAGAACACAAGTGCTGGTCTGGGCAGCTTTGTTGGAAGTTTGAGTAATGAGCATCTGCAGCTGGTGGAGTTGAGTCACCAGGGAGCTGGGAAAGGAGGAAGGATGAGTTAGATCTGGGAACCAGGGCCCAAGAATGGTGCCCTTGTGTGTAGCATACTTCCCCCAATGTGCACACTATGATATCACTCACGTGTTGTGCCTCTCCAGCTCCTGAATTTTTTTCAGTAGTTCCTGGTTCTGTGTAGAACAGGCAGCCACCCTGAGGAGTGTGGAAAGAAAGGACAAGGTTCTTGCATTATATGAGTCCCTGACCTTACCTGCCTTGGTAAGGAAGGGGACCCAGATCTGGCCCACAGGAAGCCAGAAATGAGAGTTCAAACATACTTGCTCTCTAGTCCCTCGATGTACTCTTTCTTCCGCCGCCGACTGTCCTGAGCTGACTGCTTGTTACAGATTTTCCTCCTGACCTTCTTGAGGACCCTCTCCTCTGTCTGAGGCCCCAAGGTGTTTCAGTCCTGGGCCCTTAACGCCCCAACTCTCCCCTGTGATCCTGGCTCTTCAGAGCTATGGCAGGGCTACTGGGTTGGGATACCCTTTGGGGAAGCATGTTACCTTGGTGAGGGGCAGGTGAGAGGGCAAGGAAATCCCTTCCTGCCCCAGCAGATGCTTCTCCTCATCTGTCAGGAACAAGGTTTGACAGGGGAGCTGGTGGGGAACAGAAGATGAGAATGGGAGAGTCATCCCATTTCTGGTGCCCAGGCCACTCCCCCTCCATGCTCTCTAGAGAGTTTCCCATTTGCACTGAGGAATAACTATGAAATGAAGGGAGGGGACCTTACTTCAGACAGGCTTCGGATCATACCCAAAGGGACCTCCTGAGACTGAGAAGGGAGAGGGGTGATTTTGTCATATCCTTTGACCACAGACTCTGGTCCACATCTCCCCAAACCTTAGAGATATTTGAAGAGAATGTGGACTAATTCACTGAGGTAGGGTTTCTCAATCTTCCAGCAGGCAAATGATTCACTTTAGCTATTAACTTCCCGTTTGGTAGTGTGTTATCCAGTCACCTGTCAATCATAGTGAGCTCCCTGAGGCAGTAGCCCATTCTCCCCTAGGGTCTGATCTCTACTTTTCAGACTAAAGCTCTGTCCCTCAGACAAAGAACTCCCTAAGGGCAACCAGACTGAACAACTTCTCATAACAAAGTAAGTGGGGAGGGGAAGCATTTTCTCAGTCTGTTGATAGCTTGCTTCCAGGCATATCTTCAATTTGGCTCAATAAATTACTATAACAGTTCTCAAAATAAGCCCTGGCCAGTTTGGCTCAGCGATTGAGCGTTGGCCTACAGACCAAGAGTCCTGGGTTTGGTTCCTGCTAGGGACATGTACCACAAAAAAAAAAAAAAGCCCTGGCCAGTTTTCTCAGTGGTTAGAACATCAGCCTGCAGACCAAAGGGTTGCAGGTTTGATCCCCATTCCCGGTTAGGGTTGTGCAGGAGGCAACTAATCAATGTCTCTCTCTCACATCAATGTTTCTTTTTCTCTCCCTCCCTTCCACTCTCTCTAAAAATCAATGGAAAAATATCCTCGATGAAGGTTGATAACAATTTTAAAAATTAATGTAAAAAAAATTCTCCAAAAAATGTATGTGGGGAGGGTAGTGTCTGCTTAATGTGAGCTCATTAACTGAGTGACTTGTCTAATTTCTTTTGATTTATGCTTCACTTCATGAATTAGGAATTTGATTTTGCTTTTGCTTCCTGATAGTCTTTGACTTTTTTTTTTATCCTCACCAGAGGATATTTTTTCTCCTTTATCTTCAGAATAGAATAGGAGGAAGAGAGAGAGAAACATCGATGTGAGACACACATTGACTGGCTGCCACCCACAGGACCCCAACCAACCGGGGCCAGGGACAAACTGCAACCGAGTTATGTGCCCTTAGTGGGAACCGAACCCAGAGACTCTCCGGTCCACGCGCTGATGCTCTAACTGGTAAGCCAAACTGGCCAGGGCACTTCCTGATAGTCTTTGGCTTTTAGCTAAGCCATTTCTTCTATCTCTGCCTTTTCCTTTTTTTTTTTGGTACGTGCTCCTAGCGGGAACCGAACCCAGGACTCTCTGGTCTGCAGGTCAATGCTCCAGCTGCTCCAGCCAGGGCTCTCTGCCTTTTTCTGATGCTCCCTTCTTGCTCCTTTGACTATTTGGTAGAACCATATTAGAGGGGTGTCCCTTGCTATGCACCTAATCAAAATCTGTGAGAATGATCTCTAGAAGGTTTTATTTATAAAACAAAACAAAACATGCCCTGGCCAGTTTGGCTCAACGGTTAGAGCGTTGGCCCTCGGACCAGAGAGTCCCAGGTTCGGTTCCCACTAAGAGCACCTACCTCGACGTTTCTCTCTCTCTTCCCCCTTCTCTCCCTCCCGCTCTACCTGAAGATAAATGCAAAAATGTCCTTGGGTGAGGATAAAAAAACAAACAAACAAAACACCACACTAAATCCATGGGGAGACACTCATCAGCAAGAGACAATAGGAAAGTTTGTATCTATTTGGCCTTGAGAGAAGAATTAAGGGACTGAGAATTCACCATCATAGCTTTAAAAAAAAGAAGGAAAAAAAAAAATGGCCCTGGCTGGTCTGGCTCAACGGTTAGAGCGTCGGTCTGTGGTCCAGAGAGACCAGGGTTCAGTTCCCGCTAAGGGCATGTATCTTGGTTGCAGTTTGTCCCTGGCCCTGGTTGGGTCGTGTGGGTGGCAGCCACTCGATGTGTCCCTTTCACGTCGATGTTTCTCTCTCTCTCTCTCCCCCTCCCTCCCTCCCACTCTAGCTGATCAAAAAATGGAAAAATGTCCTCAGGTGAGGATAAAAAAAATAAATTAATTAAAAAAAAAAAATTGCCCGGCGAGTGTGGCTCAGTGGTTGAGTGTCGACCCATGCACCAAGAGATTGCTGGTTTGATGTTGCTGGTTCGATTCCTGGTCAGGACACATGCCAGGTTATGGGCCCAATCCCTAGTGGGGGGCATGCAGGAGGCAGCCAATCGATGTTCTCTTTCATCGATGTTTCTCGCTCTCCCTCTACCTCTCCCTTTCTCTCTAAAATCAATAAAGAAAAAAAAAATTAACAAAAACATGGCCCTGGCTGGTTTGGCTCAGTGGTTAGAGTGTCAGCCCTCCAACTGAAGAGTCTCCAGTTCGTTTCCGGGTCAAAAGTGTTTACCTTGGTTGCAGTTTTGACTCCCAGCCCCAGGGGCCATGCAGGTGGAAGTTTCTCTCTCTCACTCCCTCCCCGCTTTCCTCCCTCTCTTTTACTCTCTCTAAAAATCAATGGAAAAATATTCTCAGGTGAGGATTAAAAAAAAAACAAACATGCCCTGGCCAGTGTTGCCTGGTATTGCTCAGTGGTTTCAGTGGTTAGACCATCGGCCCATGCACTGAAGGGTCTCTGGTTTGATCCCCAGCCCTAGTCAGGGCATGTGCAGGAGGCAACCAGTCACCGTGTCTCTGTCACATTGATGTTTCTCTCTCCCTCTCCCTCCCTCCCTTCCACTCTCTCTACACGTCAATGGAAAAAATATCCTTGGGAGAGGATTAACAACAATAACAAACACAAATTCCCCAGTGTTTTGATGCACAGTCAAATTTAGAAGTATCAAACTTTTTAAGGTCCCTCATCCCAAGATTTTAATATGCTTGGCTTGGCTACTGGTCCAGCTTCAACCATGGATTTGCAGGGAGGCTAGAACCTGTTCCCTGCCTTTTACACACAATAACTTGTTTCCAGGATAAAGGCAGGGTCTCCCTCCTCACGGTATTGGAGGAACCAGACCAGACAGCCCTGGGACGTTATCTGATGTGTTATTCTCCCCACCCCAGGTAGTTCCAAGCAGGGTGCCTGCTGGACAATGGTTCCAGTGGAAACATAGATGCAGTTGTTTCTCACCCTGTGCCCAGTAACCAGTTCAGTGTTCCCAGGTGGCCGGTCCCATTTCTGCATCCTGACCTAAGACTGAGACAATAGCTGAGCAAACAATGAACACAAGGTTTGGGCTTTCTCCTGAGCCCCATTCCTGGGTTCCTTATCCCATTCTTAATCGAGTCACCATCACCGTACCCCTAAATATGTCTTCTCCCTTATCCCTTCCTGCTTTTATTTTTCCTTTATTGATTTTAGAGCGAGAGGAAGAACAAGGGAGAGAGAGATAGAAATATCAATGAGAGAGAACATCAACTGGCCGCCTGCTGCATGCCCTCCACTGGGGATTGGCCCGTTGGGCATGTGTCCCAACCGGAAATCGAACCAGTGACCTCTTGGTTCATGAGTCGACACTCAACCACTGAGCCACACTGGCCAGACTCCCTGCTTTTATTTTTTTTTATCCTCACCTGAGGACATTTTTCCATTTTTTGTTCATGTAGAGTGGGAGGGAGAGAGAGGAACAGAGAGAGAGAGAGAAACATCGATGCGAAAGGAACACATCGAGTGGCTGCCACCCACACGACCGACCAGGGCCGGGGACAAACTGCAACCGAGGTATGTGCCCCTAGCGGAAACCGAACCCTGGTCTCTCTGGACCGCAGGCCGACACTCTAACCGCAGAGCCAAACCGGCCAGGGCCCTTCCTGCTTTTAAACTGCCCATGTCTGCCTCGCCGGGTAGCTCAGTTGGTTAGAGCTTCATCCCAATACACCAAGGTTGTGGGTTCAGTCCCTGGCCAGGGCACATTACATACAAGAATCAACCACCAGCCTGGTGTGTCTCAGTAGACTGACTGTCGTCCCATGTACCAAGAGGTTACAGGTTCAATTCCCCAGTCAGGGCATATGCCTGGGTGGTGGGCTTAATCTCCATTAGGGGATGTGCAGGAGGCAGCCGATTGATATTTCTCTCTCATTGCTGTTTCTATCTCTCCTTCTCTAAAATCAATAAAAACATATTTAAAAAGAAACAACAAATCAATGTTTCTTTCTCTTCCCCTCCTTTCTCTAAAATCAATAACAATAAATAATAAATAAATAAATAAATAAATAAATAAATAAATAAATAAAATAAATTGCCAATGTTTCCCTTGCCTTCAGGCCTGATGCCATAAAAATTAGGGCAAAGATAGAGTTCAGCATCAGTATCCCTCTCCCTACCCCTATCCATGTAGGTACATATGTGTGTGCATCAGGAAGGACCGAGTCAGGCCAACCCCAAGACTCACCAGGGTTGCAGGAAGCATTGGGTGTACAGTGCCTACTCTGGGCAGGATGTGGGCATTAGCATCAAGGGGCTGCTCGCTGACCATGCAGGTATCAGGCACCATAAAAGGTAGGCTCCACTGATCTGAGGGAAACATAGGTGGCTAGGAGAAAGGAGATGGAAGGTACACCCTGCTGGCAGCAGGGCCTGGGTCAGTGGCTCTCAACCTGTAGGTTGTGACCCCTTTTTCTGATGGTCTTAGAAACCGAGACACTGCTCCTCTATTTGTCTCCACGTGGGTCCACCCACATGCAGATACACCCACATACAATATGAGGAACTGTATTAAAGGGTCTTGGCATTAGGAAGGTTGAGAACCACTGGCCTGGGTAGTGGCACAGATTAGGGAAACCCTCTTAACCCCAGAGCTAGGGCTGAATCTGAAGGGCCATTATCCCCTTCCCACAGCACACTACTGACCTAGCTGAATGGAGATGAACCCTACAGCTGGCCCAGCTTCTTCCTGCATCTTCTCCAGGGCTCCTGCCTCATAAACAACCTCATAGAGGGCAGGGGAACTGGGTGTCTTGGGAACAGGGGGGCTGTCTGAACGACCAGGGTCCTCAGAGATTCCACTGTCACTGCCAGGAGATGCTTCTGAGCAGTACACTTCATTGGGATCAATGAAAAACTTCGGGAAATCTTCAGGTTCACTCTCTTGAAGGCCCTACATTAGAAGAGAGCATATATGTATACAGATAAGAATTCTGAAAGTCATTCCTGACATCAAACCTAGATACTTCAGTTTCAGTCCTTTCTGTCTTTGGACATGGGGATAATTACAGTTTATGTCTATTTTTTATCCTCACCCGAGGACATTTTTACATTTTTTTGTTCAGATAGAGCAGGAGGGAGAGAGAGGAAGAGAGAAAGAGAGAGAGAGAGAGAGAGAGAGAGAAACATCGACGTGAAAGGGACACATCGAGTGGCTGCCACCCCCATGACCCAACCAGGGCCCAGGGCAAACTGCAACCGGGGTATATGCCCTTAGCGGGAACCGAACCCGGGTCTCTCTGGACCACAGGTGGATGCTCTAACCGCTGAGCCAAACCGGCCAGGGCAGTTTATGTCTATTTTAGGGGTACTGTCTCAGACCACTTTCCAAGTGTAGGCTGAAGCCTTTGGGCTTCTTATCAGAGTTGTGTTTCAACCCACTCCCACTTCCATTCATCATACTTACACAGGCATGGGCCCTACTGGACTTCCAGCCTTGCAGCCCCTGTTCTTGTAGCATAGTCACTGAGACCTCGGGAGGTGGACAGTGCAGTCCCAGCTCCAGGAAGGACCCTGTTAAGACATCGTCTGGGGGCTCCAACCACACATCCAGCAGGTCAGGGGTTCTGAAATCCATCCTGCAGGGAGGCACGTGGGGTGGGAGAGTTGCAGGAGGGTGATGGCTGCCCCCCACTCACACACATAACACACACACACACACACACACACACACACACAGCTTCTGGATTCCTCTTGTTCCCTCTTCCATTATGCCCCTTCCTCACCTGTGCAGCCCCCTCACCCGGCACCTGGAGATCTCTCCTCGTCCTTATCTCTGTGGTTCGAACGAACAGGCCCGGGTTATTACCTGTTCTGAAGAGCCCTGCCCTGCCAAGCCAGCCTAGCCCGGTAAAGCCCTAAACAGTACACCTTTTCTTCCCTCCAGGATCTCGCATCCTGGACAAGCCCAGCCAAACCCCGCCCTCAGCGTTTACGAGGAAAGTGGGTTGCACCTAGTCGGGAGCCACGGTAGGAGCGCTGAATCTGGGAGCAGAGGGTGAAGAGGCTGAGCATCCACAAATCTGACCTGAGAAAAACATGGGCAGCCGCGCCCTTTCTGCCTCGGTGGTTTCTCAGGGCAAGGCAGAAACGGCTGTGACTGGAGCACAGGATGCTCGAGTCCCTGTTCTCCGGCCAAAAATTTCAGAATAAGGTGAACAAGGCAGGGTTGAAAACAAAGGAGTCGTCAACTGAATTGCCAAGATTTAAGGATGATCCCCTCCCCCACCCTGTGGCGCTCATCCCACACTTGAGTCTGATTGAAAGCGGAACACGCAGCTTTTGACAGGCAGAGCATTGAGCCAATGGAATTAACGTCTCAACGCCGGCTCCGCCGTAATTGGTCAGAATTGGTTGTCCGAGAGGAAGTAAGGCCAGTGGGGCCGGAGCATTTATTTGTCCCGCAGGGATTGGGTTCCGCAGGCCCGAAGGGAGAGCCAGAAGACGGACTGTAGGGAAGGGGAAAATTTACGAGAATGTGGGTAGCGGCTCAGTTTGGTTTCGCTTGTCACGTGACTCGTAAACCCAAGTTATTACCGAGGCAAGGAGAAAATATCCTGTTAGCCCAAGCTAAGTGACAGAGCTTTGACTCACTCAGCCGGCGGAAAGTCGCTCAATCGCGAGGTGTCAAAATCCATAATCCTTGCATTATGCTACTGATGAAGAACAGCAGTTATACATCCTCAGGACTGTTAACGAACGAAGGGACGAGAATCTGGAAAACAACAAAACGTTAAAAATCATTAGGGTTTGGTGAGGGAATCTGTCTTCCGGCTTGGGTATAATTACCAATAACAGTATGTGTCCTGCATTTGTATAGTTTACAGAATATTTTCACCTTGGCCGGGTTCTCAGTTGGTTAGAGCATCCTCCCATAAGACAAGGTTTCACGTTCCATCTCCAGTCAGGGCACATACAAGAATCAACCAGTAAATGCATAAATAAATGGAACAAATGGATGTCTCTCTCTAAAAAAAAAAAATCAATTAAAAAATATTTTCAGCCCTGGCTAGTTTGGCTCAGCAGTTAGAGCGTTGGCCTGCGGTCCGGAGAGACCCGGGTTCGGTTCCCGCTAAGGGCATGTACCTTGGTTGCAGTTTGTCCCCAGCCCTGGTTGGGTGGTGCGGGTGGCAGCCACTCGATGTGTCGCTTTCACGTCGATGTTTCTCTCTCTCTCTCTCTTCCTCCCACTCTATCTAAACAAAATATAAAAAAAAAAATAAATAAAATAAAGTAAAAAAATAAAAATAAATAAATAAAAAATATTTTCAGCCTGGCCAGTGTGGCTCAGTGGATTGAGCGCTATCCCATGGACTGAGAAGTCCTCATAGAATTCTTAGTCAGGGCACATGCCCTGGTTTTGGGTTTGATCCCCGGTGGGATGCAGCTGATCAATGTTTCTCTCTCACATCCTCTCTCTAAAAAAAAAAAATCAGTAAAAAATATTTCTTCATTATTTCATTCACATCTAATCCTCAACAGCTTTGAGGTAGACAGGCCAGGAAATATTTTACTAACTTTACAGATGAGGAGACAAAGGTTCATGACTAGAATGTAGAAATACCAAAACTCGGGATGACCTAGGAGTTCACTTTAATTAATGTTGTTGTTTTTTTTTAATCTTTACCAGAGGACATTTTTCCATTTTTTGTTCAGATAGAGTGGGAGGGAGAGAGGAAGCGAGAGAAACAAACATCGACGTGAAAGGGACACATCAAGTGGCTGCCACCTGCACGACCCAACCAGAGCCGGGGACAAACTGCAACCAAGGTACATGCCCTTAGTGGGAACCAAACCCAGGTCTCTCTGGACCACAGGCAAATGCTCTAACTGCTGAGCCAAACCGGCCAGGGCTAGGAGTTCACTTTACATTTATTTTTGTTAATTATTGATTTGAGAGAGAGAGGAAGGGGGAGAGAGAGAGAGAGAAATCGATTTGATGTTCCTCTTATTTATGCATTCATTGGTTGATTCTTTTTTTTTATTATGTCACTTATGAAACTGAGGGAAAAAGATGGAACATTCTGTTTTTACTTAAAAAGAGATTTAATTCAGTACTTTGATTCCTCCGTATTTGAAAACCACATTTTCTTTCTCAGAATGGACAGCACTAAGATGACTTCCCTTTTTAAAGGAAAGTATGATGGAATTTTAGCAGTGAGCATTATCCAGTTCCTACTCAAACCCCACTCAAAAAGAAAATGTGAGAGAAAAATGTAAGAAGTTTTGTTTGAGGCAAAAGGACTCCAATCTCATTGCAACAATATTTCATTCCAACAAACTGAGTTATGCCAGTTCTTCCATTAGTGACTAGTAAATGACCACTGAAAACAAATAGCAATACCCTCATCATATAATTTTACATAGATTGGCTTAAATCCAAATATATGCATATAGAACACGTATACAGATAAATCGGTGTTGAAAATTTTATTTACTTATTTATTTAAATCCTTACTCGAGGATATTTTTCCATTTATCTTCAGATAGAGTGGGAGGGAAGGAAGAGGGGGAGAGAGAGAGAGAAACACCGATGTGAGAGAGACACATTGATTGGTTGCCTCCTGCACAACCCCATCGGGGCCAAGGACGATTTGAAACCGAAGTATGTGCCCTTGGCCGGAATCGAACCCGTGACTTTTAGATCCAATGGCCGACGCTCTAACCACTGACCAAAATTGGCCAGGGCTGTGTTAAGAATTTTAATTTTAGCCCTGGCTGGTTTGGCTCAGCAGTTAGAGCATTGTCCCGCGAACTAGAGAGTCCCAGGTCCTGGGTTTGATTCCCGCTAAGGACACATATCTCAGTTGCAGTTTGTCCCTGGCGGTTGGGGTTGTGTGGGTGGCAACCAGTCGATGTCTCTCTCTCTCTCTCTCTCTTGCATCGATGTTTCTCTCCTTCTTCCTTCCTTTCTCCCTCCCGCTCTATCTGAAGATAAATGCAAAAATGTCTTCAAAAATGTCCTCAGGTGAGGATAAAAAAAAAAGAAACATGGATGAGAGGGAACATTGATTGGCCGCCTCCTGCATGCCTCCCACTGGGGATCAAGCCTGCAACCCAGGCATGTGCCCTGACCAGGAATTGAACTGGGACCTCTCAGTCCATGCGTCGACGCTCAGTCCACTGAGCCACACGAGCCACACAAGCCGGGCTAAACGTTATTTTTTAAATATGGTTTTATTGATTTCAGAGAGTGAAAGGGAGAAATAGAAACATTGATGAATCAATCGGCTGCCTCCTGAACACCCCCTACTGGGGATTGAGCCAGAAACCAGAGTATGTGTCCCTACCAGGAATCAAAACAGTGACCTCCTGGTGCATGGGACAATGTTCAACCAACTTAAATTTTTTTTTAAATCTTCACCCAAGGATTTCCATTGTTTTTTTTTTTAGTATTTATTTATTTATTTCCTCACGCAAGGACATTTTTCCATTTTTTATTCAGACAGAGTGGGAGGGAGAGAGAGGAAGAGAGAGAGAGAAGCATTGACGTGAGAGGGACACATCGAGTGGCTGCCACCCACACAACCAACCAGGGCCGGGAACAAACTGCAACCGAGGTATGCACCCTTAGCGGGAACCACACCCGAGTCTCTCTGGACCGCAGGCCAATGCTCTAACCGCTGAGCCAAACCAGCCAGGGCTTTAGTATTTTTTAAAATCCTCACTAGAGGATAATTTTCCATTTATTTTCAGACAGAGTGGGAGGGAGAGGGAGAGAGAGAAACATTTATGTGAGAGAAATAAATCAATTGGTTGCCTTCTGCAAGACCCTGGCCAGGGCTGGGGACCGAACCACAACTGAGGTTTGTGCCTTGACTGGAATCAAACCTGCAACTCTTTGGTTCATGGGCCAACACTCTAATTGCTCAGCCAAACCGGTCAGGGCAATTTTTTTTTTTTTTTAAATAGAGTGGGAGGGAGGGAGAGAGAGAGAAACATCGATGTGAGAAGACACATTGACTGTTTGCCTCCTACATGATCCCCACAGGGCCAGGGGTTGAACTGGCAACGGTGGTAAGTGCTTTGACCAGGAATCGAACCGGGGACTCTTTGGTCTTCAGGCCAATGCTCTAATCCAGGGTGGGCTGAAACATTTTCGGTTAACGCCTTCACTTTTCCTATAGACTTCAACATGTGTGGCCCAAACAACACTGTTTCTGAAGTGGCCTCTAATGCAGACTTTGAAATTCCTTTTTCAGCCTTACCTTGGCTGTCACTTTGATACCGGTAAACAAATTTCTTTTTCAGAGCCTCTGTTATGAGGGCAGGCAGGGTTAGTAGCATCCACAGGTTTAGGCTTTGCATCTTGTTTTGACCTTTTTACTGACTGACGTTTTACACTGGTCATATCTTTAAGGATCTCTAGCGTGTTGGGCATATCCAGTTTCTTTGGGCTGTGCTTATCCAACACCAGCCTGCCTGTCTCTCTCTCTCTCTCTCTCTCTCTCTCTCTCTCTCTCTCCTTCTCTTTCTCTCTCTCAGATCTCTGATCAAATCAGCAGCAGATGTATTTTGGTGAAGAGCTAATGGAGGGAGGGATGGAGAGGGGATGGGGGTGGGAGAGAGGGTAGTGCTGTGGTAGCTGAAGTGCTAAAATCTAAATCATCTGCAGTAAGATTTTGCTGTTCTTGCAGGGTCACACTTTTGGCAATCTGAGCTCTGAGAGCAGCAAGTTCATTTTCAAGAGCACAGATCTTCTGCAGTGCTTACTAATTCACCCATAGCATCTTCAGATGAGGTCCTTCTAGAGAAAGATTTGGTAAGGAAAACTGCCTGCTTAGAGGTTTCTCAAAGAAAGGGAGGTCATCCTGAAGTGTTTTCCTTGACCTGACCTCTCCTTCATCTTGTTGAGCATTTTCCTCCTTCTTTGGCTACCCATCCAACATCAGCAAAAGATGCCACTGCATCCTCTCCTGGGTGACTGGGGCTCCATTCGATTATAGGGCTGGTAAGCTCAAACTGAACGCTTGGACATTGGATCAGAGATAAATTGGTACCAATTTTCATTATGATACTTCGAGATGAACCATATGGCTTCCCAGATCAAAGTACCAATTACATGCTTACTCCAACCTGTTGAAAAACCATCTTAATTAGGCACTTAATCCAGCTAAGCATTTAGATGGCAAAGTCTCTCCAAATTCGCATTTCAAGCACTTCAAGCACATAAAGCAGTTCATGGTCCATAAAACTCACACTCAGTCGCAAGGCAGCAGTAAGGCGTCTTCCTCAGC